ATAAGAAAAACTGAGTTCTTGGGCGCTTCCTAGATTAAAGAAATTTCACACCAAATTAATATGATATAGTTTTATTACCTAGGGAGCTCAAGAATAAAAACTTATATTACCCGGATATCTTCCATAAAACCTTCGAAATCTAAACCATTGGTATTTTTATCAAAATATCTATATTGGGCGATTTCAAAACCCGAATCTCTAAATACAGCACCATGATTACCCCATGTCGGAGTTGGAAAATATATCTTTTTTTGATAAGGATAGAAACGATTTAAGAATACGCCACCGATCCGAAGAGCTCCAGTACCCGAAATAGATTGAGTAACCGCTATCTAAAGGATGTGAAGGCAGAAGACCATGATTCATGAAAGTAGAAGAATAAAAATCGACAAATATTTGTAAATGAAAGTTCGCTCTTACCAACCCTTCTTGTAATGGCTCAGAATCTTTACCATATGCTAAAAGTGCAGCTTCTTGGGTGAAAGAGTGAAGACCAGTAATAGGTAGATATTCTTTATCAAGTTTATCTTGGATAATCCTTTGTTCCGCCTACAATTCAAAATATCAAGAATGGCTAATATTGAATTCTACCATAGTTTATATATTCCAATTCTTAAATCACATACTTTTCTAACGGCATTCAAAACATATGGTTTTCCATTGTCATCCCTGTATGCACCAACACCTAAATTCATTTTTTTGGGATGAGTGTCCTTTTTGAAGGCATCGGTAACACCAAGGATGGCATCCGGTGGACCTTTAAAATTAGAATTAATCCACACATTAAGCGAATTAACATTATTTTTCCATTCGATAATAGAGGTCTTTTGAAATTAATAGATACGATAAATACCTTGGGGAATATGTGCCCAACTAGTAATAAAAGCACGAAGTGGAAGATTGGAAAACACAGATAAATTTTTCTTATCACGAATCGATCGCACACAGTATGAAAAACGAGAAGATAGCATTTTGCGTCAAAAATTTTAGCAAAACGATCGAAAAAAAAAAAGTATAGCGGATATCGATATTTATTTATTTTTGTTAACTGATTAAATCAAAAATGGATAATCTGATTAAGCTAATGATTGTTTGGTCACGAGAAAATACTACGTAATCATATCTAGTCATAGGAATTTCCATGTTACCTTTTTAGCGCCTTTTTAGGGGGTCCGCTAAAGCCTTGTACCCACGTGACATTTTCCTATGTAGATCACCAATCAAAATCATGAAATTTTGTTTACACGGATCAGCCCGAAGAATCAGAAAATCCAAAAAAAATGAAAAATATGAAAAACGGCAGTCTAAACCTGTCTTAGTCCATTAATAAAAAATGTCGGGAAGGGAATTTTACCTATATAACTGCCTTCATCCTAACACTAAACTAACCCTAACCCTAATTACAATGAAAACTTATAAAGTCACGTGGGTACAAGGCTTTAGTGATCCCCCTTTTTAGGCAATAATGAAATGAAATTAACCACATGAACATTTGAATTAAATGGGAATCGAGAATTAGAATTCGAGTACGTATGATCAGAATTATGATTACTAAGATTATCAAGAGTAAACAAACATTATACTGTTATACGTATTAATGATGGGAATATTCCTAATAATGTCTATAGAAATTAATATAATTTTGTCTAAATCCATTCTTTTTATGTATGTTATTCAAATTTGAATATAATATACTTAAAGTTACCGATTAAAATCGATGGAGATTTTTGATTATAATCGATTTAATTTGAGCGTTTTAAATCGCTTTTGTACATGTTGATTATAATCGAATTTATTTAAATCGATTATCAATACCACCAGCGATGATAATCGTAACCAATCGAACAACCGTTTGTAACCTATTATTCCCGATATACGTACGTACATATACCGTCAACTCTCTATCTGCTATCAGCTATATAGCGAGCCCTTGAGGCTAATTAAGAAATAACAAAAAAATCGGTTTAAAATAATGTATTTAGCGTCTAAACCGAACTTTATAATAAAGTTTAACCTTTCAAAGCTCGGTTAGTAGGTAGAATTCGGTTTATTCAGGTTCAGTTTAGAGAGTTAACTGCATATCTGATATATTTTTAATCGAAAATCACCTTACGACATTTTCCGATCGGGTAAATCACATTATTGAATCAATAAAGGTCAAATGCTATTTATATATAATGAGCTATATAGTATTTTTTTTCCTTGATTGATAAATGTTATTGGTTAAATGTTTTACATACGTTGTCTTGACTATCTTCTTTTTTTCATTACAATAATAAACTTACTTGACTGGCTAAACTATTTTCCACTAATTAAAATTTGAGCTCCGACCTATTAATTTAAGTGCTTGAGCACTAAATCGGCAAAACCTGAAAATATAAAAAAATTCAATAAAACCTGTCATATTATTAAATTACAAATTTATTTGATATAACCAAATTTCTGAATTTTGGTTAAACTAACTATGGGTGCAATTTCATAATGATCGAAATAGCGCACAAGTATTATAACGTAATTTTAGCTATACTTATAACTAGAGATGTACCTTACGCGAGATCACAAAATTCTCAACTCGCGATATCGTGTAATCTTTGCGAAATAATGACATAATTTTCGCGAGATAAATTAATTGATTGATTAATGATCAGTGATTTATTATATGTAATCATTTTTTTAATAAAGATAATTAATTAAACTATTGCTATGCATTTTTTACGTTATATATTCGTAAGCAAAATATTTAAATAAATAGATTTGTTTTTAGTTTTTCGATGTTATAGCTTATATTATAATGCCACCCAAGAGACCAATTTGGAGTCATTTCACACAATTAGGAATTGTAAATGGCTTTAGTAAAAAATGAGTTCGATGTAATTATTGTGGTCATGGAATGGGTGAAGATGTGGGTTGATGTGAAACACATTTACGAAATAATTGCTCACAAGTGCCAAATGAAACATTGGTACAATACTTTGGAACGAATGTTCAACAAAATAATTCAGAGCAGCAAATTGTTGGAAATCTTCTTAATAATTTTTCGACAATTCAGCAACCTCAGCAAGAAGAATTAAACTTAGGCGATACAAATAAAATAACCTGGTTTACATAACATTTGAAAAATTTTTGGACCCGGCCGCCCGGAGATTTTTTTTT